TGGACAGAGCTTACTTTGAGAAACAAGAATGCTGTTCCAGCGAACTATTTTTAGTCTGTCTTTGAGCTACTAAAAATGGTGTTTACAGAGAGATTCAGATTTTATGTTCTTGATGAAAAATGTTTGTTAAGGCCTTGTTTATGACATATTCAAATTTGAGAATTTCCGGAGTCCATTTACTATGTTTTCAAGTCCGATTTCGTGAACAGTGCAAAGCTGTCCGGTTTTGTCAGATTTCAAAGATTTATCAATTTCTATATGAGAACGTTGAAATCTCGACTTGATGTCTTTTGGTGATATTTGAAGACATTCCCGTGCTGAACCTTGGGTTGAACGAGATTATTATACGTGTTTTGTCGTGGAAAACCCTCGGAAAATAAGTTAGATGTTTATGATGTGGGTTGTGATTGTAGTGCCGATTAGTCTATTTTGTGTGACCCGATTGGCCCGAGTCATTTACGTGAGAAACCAGCAAAGTCAGAAGGTTCTAGGGAGTACACGGTTCGGGATATTGGTAGAAGAACCTAGAAGCCTTGACCAAGTTAAAGCTTCTCCTTCAAGCTTCCATCATTAAGTTTCATTAATGCCATTAAATGGCCCTTGACTTAGAAGCCCTATTTCATGATAACAAGCATTAATGACCTTAGACTTTGGAGGCCCTATCATTATGGGGCACAAGGCAAGGCCATTCGGCCAAGCCAAGGGGGAGCCGTGAGAAGAGGGCCATTCGGCCAAAGAGAGAGAGAGAGAGAGAGAGAGAGAGTTGCCGAGAGAGAAAGAGAGGAAGAGATAAGGATCATTAATGGCTTGTATTAATTAAGTTAGACTTTAGGGCCCTCCATGATGACATGCATTGATGGCTTGGAGTAGTGACCAAGAAAAGCCTTCTATTAATAGGGAGAAAGAAAGAGAGAGAGGGAGAGCCTCAAGTGAAGCCCCCCCCCCCCCCTTCCTCTCCCTCAAGCCATTTCCACGCCCGAGAGCTCCGGCCAACCTTCTTTCTTATTTCTTGCTTTGTATTCATGACCGAGAAAGAGAGAAAAAGAAAGAAAGAAAGAGAGAAAAAGCTTACCGACTAGCCCGTGTCTCTCTCTTGTGGTTTGATCGAGTGAGGAAGCCTTATGCAAGGCCCGAGTGTTCGTGTTTAAGCCCGAGAACCACCAAGAATCGCCCGAGAATTGCCGAGACTCACGTGTCCTTCACACGCCTCGTTTTCTCTAGTTCTTGTTTAATTGTTGTGTAAGTGAATTCCCTAATATCGGAAAAGGATGTTGAGATGCGTTGTGACGTGGTTTGCTTGGACCGTTTCTCGGTTGTTTGGTTGGTCGTAATTGGTTCTTTTCTCGATTTGATCATGTTTCATGTTTGATGTTGTTTTAAGATAGAACCGAGCCTTGGTTTGTAAAGTGTGCACGATGTGGCCATGCGTGATGTTCTCTTGTTTGAACTTTGCTATTGATCTGCCATCGATGCGGGTACGGTAAGGGCTGACTTATGTTAACGGCGATTGATATATCCTCGCTTGATATTAGTGTTTTCACTTGCTAAGTCTCCCCGACTCATCGCCCGTTTTTCGCTCTCAGGTTCATAGGATGGTCGAATGGACAGCGGCGATAGGGGGAGTTTGAGCCATGTTGGAGTTCGGGGAAAGCTCGGAGCTGTGAACCCGAAGTAGTGGGCTTAGGACACCCAAGCCATAACGTTTGTTGTATAAATGGCTAAAATCGGCTAAGTTGGCTTGTAAAATATGTTTGCGTGTCCTATAAATATAAGGTTTTCTCATGATGCTGTTTGTCTTAATCCCGCTGTTGTTTTTAAATGTGATTGTCTCGAGATATGCTTCCGCTTGTATTTAAAGAAAGATAATAATGAACGGGACGTCACGTTAATGACCCCGAGGTCGGGGCGTCACACCTCAAGTCGCGACCTCAGCTCCTCCTCCATCCTCCGTCATCTGCAAACCGTCTCAAGCACCGGTCCGGTCCATTCTCGGCGGAAATAATAAAAAAATTATAAAAAATTAATTAAATTATAAAAATTCCAAAAATTCCAAAAATTCATAAAAATCAGAAAAATTCTCAGAAAATCCATAAAAATCAGAAAAACTCCAAAAAATCATAAACAATTGCAAAATTCCGAAATTGAAAAATTTTTAAAAAATTCATAAAAAGCTTTCTAGAAAATAAAAAGAGACAAATTTCGGGAAAGTAAAAAGCTTTAATAAACTTTTCCCCAAAAAAAACAAAAATAAAAAATTCACATAATGGCTTAGAATAAATTAAAAAATTCCGAAAATTCATAAAAATTAGAAAAATTTCAGAAAAATCCCATAAAAAATTCCCAAAATTCATATAAATCAGAAAAATTCTCAGAAAATCCATAAAAATCAGAAAAACTCAGAAAACCATTAAATATTTGCAAAATTCCGAAATTGAAAAAATTTAAAAAATTTCATAAAAAATGTTCGGAAAAGTAAAAAGAAATAGATTTAGGGAAAGTAAAAAATTTTAATAAATTTTACCCCAAAAAAATATAAAAAAAATTCACATAATGGCTTAGGGTGCGCATGGAATGCATTCCGGAATAAAAATTCTGTTCCGGAATGCATTCCGAAATAGAATGACGTTTGTTAAAAAATTTCCGGAATGCATTCTGGAGCGATTTTTGCATTCTGGAATAAAAATGCGTTTGTTAAAAATACTTTATTCCAGAATGCATTCTTGATTCCGGAATGCATTTTTGATTCCGGAATGAGTTTTTGGCAAGAAAAAGAGAAGCTACTTTTTTTAGCTTCTTGATTCCGGAATGCATTCTCCCTATTTTCTCATAATTTTTTTTTCAGAAAAAGCATAAAAATTGAAAAATTCTAGAAAAATTCATAAAAATTTCCAGAAAATAAAAAAAAAAGTCAGATTTCGGGAAAATATGAAATTTTGTGAATTTTAAAAATAAAAAAATAAAAAATAAAAAATTTCAAAACTTCACAGAATAGCTTAAAACACATGTGGCCATCCACTTTGAATGAAATTTAAATTTTTTGAGGTGCCCAAAAAAAATCAAAAATTTCAAAACTTCATAGAATGGCTTAAAATACCTGTGGCCACCTACTTTTAGTGAAATTTAATTTTTTTGAGGTGCCCAAAAAAAATAAAAATAATATTAAAATAAAAATTTTCAAAACTTCACAAAATGGCTTAAAATACCTGTAGCCACCCACTTTGAGTGAAATTTAAATTTTTTAGGTTAAAAAAAATAAAAAATAAATAAATAATTTTAAAACTTTACAAAATGGCTTAGAATACCTGTAGCCACCCACTTTGAGTAAAATTTAAATTTTTTGAGGTGCCCAAAAAAATAAAAAAAAATAAAAAATTAAAAACTTCACAAAATGGCTTAGAATACCTGTGGCCACCCACTTTAAGTGAAATTTAAATTTTTTTAGGTGTCCAAAAAAAATTAAAAAAATCAAAAATTTCAAAACTTTACAAAATGGCTTATAATACCTGTGGCCACCCACTTTAAGTAAAATTTAAATTTTTTTAGGTGCAAAAAAAATCAACAAATCAAAACAGATTTCTGTTCCAGAAATCAATTTCTAGAGCAGAATTAGTCATGTTTTACCAAACAGATTTCTCCTCCAGAAATCAATTTCTGGCAAGAATTCCAGAAATCAATTTCTGGCAAGAATTTGATTTCTGGAGTAGAATGGTTACCATTCGCACCCTTAGAATACCTGTGGCCACCCACTTTGAGTGAAATTTAAATTTTTGAGGTGCCCAAGTGGTATTTTTGAAGATTCCTTAGTTTAGGGATTAAAAAGGGTTTTAAACCCCTAAAAAGGATTAGACAAACCAATAAATCATGCTTATTGATTTTTTTTCAGTTATAACTTGTACTTATAGTTAAATAAAAGATATAGATTTGAATGCAAAAAATTGGGAATAGAAATTTTGTGCAGTTACCAAACGCATTTCTGTTCTTTTTCTATTTCAGAAATAGAAATTTTGTGCAGTTAACAAACACATTTCTGTTCTAGAAATAGAAATTTTGTGCAGTTACCAAACGCATTATTTTGCTCAGAAACTCTTCCAGGAAATAGAAATAGAAAAAACTATTTCTAAAAAGAAATTATTCCAGAAATAGAAACGTTACCATATGCACCCTAAGTATTGTAATAGAGTAAGAGTAGCTTGGTCAATAATTTATCGAGCTTAGGTTTTTAGTTTATCTGTTAAGTAAGTCTAAAAAATGTTCCAAACTCTGTTATAATTGGAATAGTAATGTACATTTGCTATATAGCCAACCTAAAGACGATTACAGATAAAATAAAATAAAATATCCTTAAGACGATATAGAAATAAAATAATGAGAACATATCGAGTTTGAGATATCGGATTTCCTACCTATAAAATCCCAAATCCATCTCAAACCTTATAAGGATTTTGATAATAGATCCCAAACCCATCTCGCTACTCAAAATTCAAAACACGTTTACGTTTCATTAGGGTTTGGATGGATTGGGTATCTGATTACACCCGTGCCATTTCCATCCCTAACATTCGTGTGGATCATTCATTAGACATAAAAATGTTAGAAAATTGTCACGACTAACTTGTAGATCCGAGAGACAAAGGTGAAAGAAATGTACATAGTTCAATTCATCGGTTTCAAAAGAGTCGTCTAATCAAACAAAAGTTGAAATGATTGATTCATTGAGAGAGAGATGCTTATACTTCCAGTACCATAATCCTATTTTTTTCAATTTCCATTGTTTCTTGGGAGGGAGGTGAAAGTGAAATTTTACCAATTTCACCCAATCATTTCCTCAGCAACAAATTTACCCATTTGCAAAAAAACATTTGAAATTTACTTTTAATTACATATAAAAACTTACCCAACTTGTAATAAATAATGTTATTTCAATTTTCTTCGTAATCATCGTCCTAAGTTTTAACCCACATCAGATTCCCATCGACGGCAAGAAAAAGACCCACAGCCGAATATCAACAACGTTTTATCATTCATTGAGTGAAAAAGAACAAAAATTTCATTTTCTACAATGGAAAGAAACAACAAAACCTACAAAAATACAAGGACCTCAAACTGACACGCCCGACTCCAACAGCCCCTCCCGGGAATTCTCCGGCGCGCTCTCCGGCGGCAGCAGCGGCGGCAGCGGCTGCAACCGGGGCCGTAGCGACAGCGGGTGCGCCGGCGAGCGGCAGAGCGGGCAATCGGAGTGAGAGTACAACCACATATCAATGCACGACACATGAAACGAATGCTTACACCGCGGCAATTGCCTCACTTCCTCGCCCTCCTCAAAGACCGATAAGCAGACCGCGCACTCATACTCGCTCCCGGGTTCCTGAGCCGCCGCCGCTGCATCCTTCTTGTACTTGAAGCTCGACAACAGGTTCCGGTTAGGGTTTTCGAAGCTCCGGCTCGCCGCCGCGAACTCAACGAACCGCTCGGCCCTCCGGCCGGACTGGTAGCGGCTGGTGCACCACTTGATGATGATGAGGTTGTACAAGGCCAGCACGAGGGCAGCCGTCCCCACCACGACTAGCCCATAGTACAGCATCGGCAAATTGGACTTCAACGGTGGGGGCGGGGGCGGCAGCACCAGCAGTTGAGGAGGCAGCGGCAGTGTGTAGGGAGGTTGGACATCCGGTATGGTGGTTGGGGGTAGGAAGGGATTCCGGCTATGACGACGATGTATGAAGAGCTTATAAGAGTGCCAAGCGGGGTGTAGATTAAACTATAGAGGGGGATTACATTTGTTTATCGCGTAGCTGATGTTGGTGCTATTATACGATTATAATGAACTTTGGTAGCTAATCTGAAAGCCGTGGTGGTTGTGGCATCGCAGGAGGAGGAGGAGATTACAATCTATTGGCTGAACGAGCGAGGACAAAGAAGGGTACAATCACTAGACGGTGATGAACATTGCTATGCTATGCTATGTGTGACTTTGAGTATGATTGAGCCTCTCTCTCTCTCTCTCTCTTCAATTTTTTTTTTCTTATTTGATGTGACTTTTGCCAATGATCCAATCAAGCAAGTGATCTGGAAGCTCACCCATATTGATAATATCTGGTACAGCGAGCTGTGGATAAATGTCATTGCGTGAGGACAATCTAGTTTTCAAATCACAATACATAATCAACAAATCGAGAATCTTCTTCTTGTACCCTTTGCATATGCAGTAAAAAATGGAATTTATCTTAAGGGGACGGTGAAAGATGGCTTTGAGATAGCATACTTCCTTATCGGTTACGGCACGTGTCATGTCGATAAGAGTTTTTGGCCCGAGAGTTCAGATAATTAGAATTTAGAGATATATTTGTTGATTCTTATATGACACATGAATATCTATGAAAATAATGATTGACTTGATTTATCATGTCAATAAGATGAAGTAGACCATGCGAAGTATCTTGGAATTGCCAAAAACCGGACCACTTACACTTGAAGAATTTCTAAAGATATAAAATCAGTTTGCACGTTACAGCGAAGATTCTTGTTGGTCGAATGTCATATACTAAGCCGGCTAACAAAATATGACGGGGTTGGTCTTTCGGAATTGAATAATTAGTTGATCATTGGAATTTTAGCATAAACATTAGTCCTATACAATTATTTTCTTGTCATTTTGGAACAACTTGCGCACATGCTCGAAATCGAGCTTATCTGATCGAAGCACAAAGGTGAAGGTTGGCTGTTGCCACATAGGTCAATTAAGTATGTCATTAAGGCCTTAATGACAGGTTAATTATATTAAGCACAATGTGAGAGATTTCAAATCGCGAGAGGCCGTGGAGCTAATCAAGTACATCGCAGTACTCTAATCTGGACAGCGGTCGGCCATAATTATTTACATGCTACATAAACCTACGGCAGTGACGTCATCGAATTTCATTCATGCATGCAATTACAAGAGAGAACAAAGCATATTATACACGAGTCGACGTTAACGCAACGTCTCTATAGATGCGACATAAGGTCAGTCTTTTGTATTAGTTTTCCCCAGAAAAGAACGTCCTTATTAGCGTATTAATGGATGAGCTAATGACTAGTCAAGCTTTATACAATGCTGGAAATAGGTTGACCATGTATGATAAGGCGAGAGAGAGAGAGAGAGAGGGGGGGTGAATCATTCGATGTTACAGGCGAATATTCTCTCCTTCAAGCATGTGAGGCAAAGGAGCACCGATAGGTTCTCCGAAAAGTAAGGACGAAGATTCGAGCCGACGACACTCGCAGTTGTTACATGTGAGGTACATAAAAATCGGTAAAGATAGGAACAGTTGGTAATTGAACGAAAAATAAACTTGGTAAGTAATTTAAATAAGAGTTGGCAAGTTAAAAGTAGTGAGTAATTTAATAAAAAAAGGTTATCAAGTCACTTTAATTAAAGCCGGTAATTTCTTTAAAAAAGTTGGTAAGTATAAGGTATTCCTAAGAAATACAAATAAAAGTTTGTAAACACTAAGAAAAGTTGTCAAATTAAAAACAATCAAATACATGTCGAGAAGTAATTCAAACGAAAGTTGATGAGTTTGTCGCTGAATCCTGTTTTCTGCTTTTACTAGGTTTATCGACGAGGAGGACCTCTTGGGCTTTCAAGAAGAAGGAACGCGTCGAGAAATTCATCTCTTTGTTTCCCAAAGTGGCAAAAGCTCGGAAGATCAAGAGGATGTTATTCAAGAAATGGCCAGTTCTATATCTCTCTCTCCAAATTCGGCCACACTCCTCTAAAACCCTAATTTCTCTGTCGGCAACCCTCTCTCTCCCAAAAACACTCTCATTTAAAGCAATCGCACCTGCAGGCTTTCAACTTCAGAGTAGGGGTTAGCAAAATGGACCGTCCAAATCGGGACCGGACCGGACCGGACTAGACCGACCGATTTGGTCCGGTTCTTGGGAATATCTGTCCGGTTTCCAATTCCTAAAAGTGAAACTGGTTTCCGGGTGGTCCGATTCCCAGTTCTAGGGTGGGAACCGGACCGGACCGGACCGACAAGACAGAACCGATAAAAATATATTTTTCTATTTTTTTCATAAATATTTATTTACTTTTTAAAATTTTTGAAAAAAATAGAAAACATAATTTAATTTCCCCAATTTCCTCTTGCTTTTATCTATAAGTGATTAGTCTCATCGGAACCAAACTAGACCGGACCGGTCCGATTCAGTCCACAGTCCCAAGACTAGTCGGTCCGGTCCTCGGTCCTAGAAATGGGGAACTGGTCCTCCCAATCCGATTCCCAGTTCTTGGGTTGGACCGAATCGGACCGGGAACCGCTCACCCCTACTTTAAAGGCTCTCAGCCTCAATTTCTGAAGCTGAGAGCTTGTTTTGCTATGCTTTTCTTTTTTAGGCCTTGATTTCCTATTTTTTTCTCTCTTGATCTAATTTGGGTGTCTTTCTTCACCTTGTTTGGCGTTTTCTTTTGCTCGTTATAGTTGCTTTTCTTTACTCGTCGTGGTGAATAAATCTACTTGTAGCTGATAATTTTGTGAGAATGTCGTCACACAGCCCAACCAGCAGGATGTCTGCGACGCGAGTCTATGACTTCTCTAAGATTTAACGAAAGTTCTCACCTCCTGATTTAGGTGTAGATCTAAATTTGAGAGCTTTTCTTTCTCGATCTAAATTTAGGTCTTGGAGTTTCTTAAATGCGTTTGATATGTGGTGGTTCAACATGCTGTTGTTGTCGTTGTCTCCATATGGCCATGGTGCCGAGGACGCCGAACCTAGGTGCACTGCAAGCCATAGTTTCTGGAGGGGAAGATCTAAGCGTGTGCCTATTAGTGACGGTTTCGGTAATCGGCCATCAAGCCGATGTTGTGATAGATGTGATCTTTTGGGATGAGAGTTTCAAGCTACACTCTTTTGTTTTCTGTTTTTTTATTATTATTATATTATAGCTCTTTTGGGATTTTCTTTGCTTAGAAGTTTTCTATGTCTATATGATGTTTGATTATAACAAATGAATAAAATTTTCTTTTGATAAAAAAAAAAAAAAGAGATGGCTAGTAAGTGCCTATTGTATCACTTAGGTTTTGACTAATGTAGAGCTTCGCTTCCAAAACAAATATTCTATGCAGCTTGTACCAAACTGAAATTGAGGAGACTTTTTGTGCTGAAAGAACTGGAAATCATTAAGGACATGATCTGAATTATAGAGTTCACGTCTGTAGGTGAATGTCAGTCTTGACTGGAAATCACTCACTCGCGCCTTAAAGGATGCGAATGCAGCCATCGAGGACCTGAACAACCTAGCTTCAGCAGTTTTGCGGTCATCATTCTGTGGTTGCTTCTGACAAAATTCTTGACTCTCGTTTTCCTCATTTTCATTTCGTCTCAGCTTTTGGTTTACACACTCATTAATGGGGACGCTGCCGAAGACTTGTTCGGAGCCGTCGTGTTTGTATTTGCGATGCATCCGTTTGATGTGAAAGACCGCTGTGTGGTCGATGGGGTAGAGGTGAATGAACAAGCCTATATGACTCTGCAGGACTGGTTTGTACAGATTTCACATTGGTCTTGACTTATTGATTCATCATAGATGGAGGTTGAAAAGATGAATATCCTAACAACTATCTTCTTGGGAAACATCGGTGAAAAGATATCTTACTCGAATGCCGTTGTGATCTGTAAACCCATCGGCAATTTCAACTGGAGCCTGGACAGAAGCGACTCCGTGGAGTTCACGGTCGATTTCTCTCCACTTAAAAGAAGAGCCTTGAAGATTTGCAAGATAAAGTAAAACAGTATGCCATATGCTACTCCTGAATCTCCCTTTTCGGGCATTAAATGTCTCGCCTCACAATTTGTAAGTGTAAATACAAAACTGTGTATAGTTAAGTTTTCCATTCGTGGTTATAATGATGAGCTTATTGGCTTATGCATCAGATGAACTCAAACCCATCATAAGCATCCTCTGCTTTTGGCTTTTGAAGCTGCTGCTTGGAGTTTTGGAAATTCCGGTCTATGTGCGCGTGCTTTCATTTGAGAACTGCCCTAGTATTTTACAAGGTGCAAGTACTGATTGATTAAGCCTTCAGGTACTTGGACAGCAAGCTGAAACACTGGCATCCGGATCCCAGCGTTGTTAATAAGGAGATTGTGGACGTTGGCAACTTGAAGGTCTTGAAGGTGGGCTCTCCACGTCTATCACAGGATGAATTTCCAAGATGCCACCAGAAGGACCAAAGCTCGTGCTGGAGCTGAAGAAAATTTTCGTAGAACTCTGTCTCAAGTAATGCGTGCTTCCTCAGTAAGTTCGTCTCAGTTAGACGGGGTCGGCAGCTGCCACTGTGCACAGTTTTGACGACTCGAGGAGTATCGCGTTCCTAGTAATCTGCAAGCATGTGAGGATGGGACTTCATTTCTGCCTTTTTTCTGCTCTTCTTTGAATTTTTTTGGCAAAGAAAGTGCGTGACTATGTTCTTTGCTTGATCACAAATTACCTTGCGTGAGAATTGCAATGACCTCTATATGTAGACTGAAAGTCTCCAATAACAGAGGATCGAATAAAGCGGAGAGTGACCAGATTTCACTATAGTTTTGCTCTGATCATTTAATTCTGTTTTAGTTTTCTCTTTAGCTGGTCAA